CGTGTACTCAGACCAGTAATATTTGGGGTCACAAGTTTTTGCCATGGATATTTTGTGGGTCAGAAGATAAAAAGTTTGGGAACCACTGCTTTAGACAGTGCTCACAGCAGTGCAAACAGGGGACAGTGGCTGATTTTTTTAAACATTTGTGGAGGTAGAGAAGCCAATTCTTATTTAAGAATCGACCAATCTCCCAAGATTAAGGAATTCTGCACAAATTCTGTCCACTCACTAAATTTACCAAATCTTCTTGGCTTTTACGTTGAACGCTCATGTCTCTAGTTTGCACCTATTAAAGCTTGTTAAGTTGAACTCAGTTGGGTCACATTCTGAACTTGAGATTCTTATTAARGCATTTATATCTTTACGTCTCACTTAAGTCAACTATTTGCTCACCTGCGTTAAAAAATGGCCTCCGTGGATTGTTTGCGCCTCTGCAACCACGTCCTTGACGTATTCATGTATCAGTTGCTTTGATTGCCTATCAATTTTAGAGTCCATCCTGAAATTCTTGTTTTAACTTTTAAAGCTCTAAATGATGGAGAGCAAACATTATTAAACTTCCTCAGCACGTCCTACAGTGAGGTGAACAGGTCCTGCTTGTTTGTGACATTTATCTTACAAGGTGCTATGTAAAAACAATTTTACTTACATTCTTTGTTTTTAAGATCTCGTTCATTGGTCACATTACAAGTTATTTTTACCTAAACAGGACTGAGTCAGCGCGGCCGAAGCAGCGAGGTGAGGAAACCTTGTGAGCTTCTCAGTCAAAAAGCCCTCATTTTATGACTCATCCTTAACAGCAGAAGGGGAGAAAAAAAAAAAACAGCAGACAAAATTGTAACTTAAGTGACAGAAGATCACATCGTAAATCGTTTTCTCAAGTAAAATCCAATCTCAGGGCCACTGAGCGTTTAACTGGTATTTTTTGCGAGGTAATAAAGCTGCACTGGTACAGTGCCAGAGTAATGTTCACCAACTCATCATCACTACTTCTGCAACTTGTCTTGGCCTGCTGCCCCTGTCCTCCCCCACAGCTTAGCCAAACCCTTARGTTATTGGCTAAACAGCCAGCTGAGGTCCGTTAACTGTCTGATCTCACATCAGTCGACTTCCCCAAACAAGGAGACGTAGAAAAGGGGAGTGAAAGTCACAGAGCAAGGAAATAAAAAAAGATTATACCCTCCGTGAGCTAGCACCACCTCCGGACTCGTGTGTGTCTGTGTAAACATTTCTTTTGTTTTGTTTAAGACCTAAATGTRACCCATCATATCGAAATGAGGATTAAGTCAAATTTGGTCAAAATGACCTAATGACATTTTCAGATTCTTGGCTTTAAAAGCTACATTTTGAAACCTGGATCATTCTGATATCATAATTAAATCCATATGTATGACTTAATTTGTCTTGTTGGTTACAATAATACATAAATATTTGGTCTGAATCCTAATTTTATGTCATTTTAATGAGGAATATTTGATGTCCTTATGAAGAGGAAACCTCAAATTATATTTGAATATTGAGATTTCCCTGCTGAAAAGGAACAAAACTTTGTTAACTCACAGGGAAAATCTCAAATTTTTAAGGCGTTTTTTCCTCAAAATCAGGTTTTTTTGTTGCTACTCCTCAAAAAAGTGCTTCAAATTTTTGTTTTATGATTATATTTCAGACAGTTCATTCAAAAGATACATTAATAAGGCATTTATTCATTATATTTTGACAAAACGCAATTTTTGTTAACATTTTAATCAAAACACTATATTTGCCTATTTCTCCATGTACTTTTAGACTTAATCCTAGTTTCGGTGTGATGGATCACAAATGATAATGCTCAACGACCACACACAGGAGTGGCTGTTGTACGGGGCAGTTTATACCAACCGCTCGCTGCCCAACACACTCGTTGTTCCTTTAGTGAATCGCGTTGCTAAGTGAAAACCTTTTGGTCCCTCATGGACAATTAAACGAGAACATTTCCAAAATGAGAAACATATGGAGCTTTTTAATTGGCTAATTTTTCTTACAAACGTGTGTGGCTTTTTTCATTCTAAAAACCAATGAAAAGGAAAAAAAATTTGCTATCTAGTCAGACATGCATATTGCAGCACAGAGCGTTGCACACATTTTCATTGTCCTTCCGTACGGAGTAAAACAGCCCTTCTGTTCCCTGGATTAATAGCACCATTACTGAGAATCCATGTTCAGTATACAAGACCATTCTTCAGGATCCTGTCAGTGAGATACACACGTTTTAGTGTAGATATTTTAGTAAATTTGTGTATCTCTTGAAATTTCTATTATGCTAAGCAGGTAATGTTGCACATCAAAGCTGAAGTTACCGGTTCACCGTGCCTCTCCCTAACCCTACACTTTGTCACGTGAGTTCGCTGGGCGTGACTGCAACAACTCACATCTGGGGAGTTATTGTTCTACACATGTCCTGTGTAATCTGCCCGACCCACAATGCTTGGAATAATTATTCATATTTAATCACCAAACTGCAAGGCTACATCGTCTGCCGCGCGCTAAGTCATTTTCCGTGTTCCATTATCAAAGTTTCAGAGACGGGTGCTCAGGGAAGGGGGACTAAATGGAGAAGCAGAAGTAGTTGGGCTTATAAAAACATAATGGGCTTGTCTGCTTTGATAAACTGAGGACGTGGATAGAATGCGCACCCAGTCACCACCACCCCAACCCCCCCACACCACCACACACACACACACACACACACACACCAATACACACATCATGTTCAGTTTAAATGAGAAAAGTGCAAAGAACAAAGTAAGTGGGGAAAGCAGCCAAAAAAAACCAGTTCAGATTTTAAACGAGTAAAACTCTATTATTAATACAAATCATTTATCATTTGGTCCAAGACCAAAATAATCAATTAATTTTTTTGTTAAATTTCCCAGGAAGGGCTCACCTTGCTCCATAGGTGGTGGTTTCACACCTGAAGCTTTTAYCTTGAGAGCTTCTTTTGCCGACATATCACAACAGGAGCCTTTGTTGGTGTCCTGGTCGCTGTCGGCCTGGTCGCTGTCGCCATGGCCGCTGTCCCTGAGGCTCGCTCGCTCCGGGTCTTTGAACGTTGAACTACTGCATGAGAACACAAACAATAGATTTAAAAAAGAACTGTAGGGTCCTGAGTATTGTTTCATAATGAATAAAACAGCCACTCCTTTTAGCTCTAATTAAAATGTGCACGCTCTTTTTCCATCTCTATATTACTTAGTAAATACACYTTAAGAATAGTTACTGTTACTGTGCAGAGACTGCAGGAAAATAAACAAAGATCTGACATGTGGTTATTGGTTATAGATTCCAACWCTTACCTTTGAACAAACTGTTGTCTGCTGCCCATATAATTAGGCTCAGTGGGGAAATTGTCCGTCTGTGGAGGAGGAAGAAGAAAGCATGCAGTCAGCCTTACAGAAACCATGCCTGCTGTAAAACCAGAATTCCTAGTGACATATGATTAATTATGCATAACGAGGCAAAGGACAGATTAGAAAATAAAAAGTAAAAAAAAAACACAAGGTCAATTTTGCCAAAATTTGAGCAGTTTGCAAACCATATAAAACAGGCTAATTAGCCATTGGAGAGAAAACCAAATAGTATAACATCAGGTCTAGCAGACATCAGATAATCAATGACTCCTAGGAAAACGTTTTGATGAGAATAGAAAAGTCTGCGATTGCCATGTTGAACTCTTGGCTAGACATCTATTAACCAGATTACAGTACAACTTGCACAGAAATTAAAATGCAATTTGCTCCCCCGTTCCTGTTGGAAACTGCGAACARGTTGAAACGGAACACTTTCTTTGCCATTTCCACACAAACAAACAAGTGTATTATGAGGAACTGGAGCCTGTGGGAGTTGATCAGTGTGCCGTTTATTTGATACGGGCAACATGATCGTGCACACGAGGCTTTGCCTTACATTCTGTAGGTCGACTGGCAAATTWAAAATGCAAGGACACTTGTTTAAACATGGATTCATGAAGATTTCATGCTTTCGTTGGACCTTAAATACGCCGTCCAGCCACATTCAGGAGCCTAATTAGCACAAACATGTAATCCTCAAGACTGTACGCATCTCCGCCTTAAAGACTGGATCAATCACACCGGCTGGGAAGCACTCTATCATTCTTTCAGTCTGTCTCCCTCCCTTAGTAATTATCCCACTCTACACTGTTTTTGAGGCTTTAAATCATTTTAAAGGGATCACCGATTAGTTGAAACATTAGACTTTATTTGATTAACATATATTTTAACTGTAAAATAAAGACTATAAAAATACTGTAGGATGTTTAGTTTTGTACATTTTTAAAAATATATTTAAACACGGACGGGGCCATTTTATTTACATGCAAAGCATTCTGGGTAAATGATGACGTGGGTAGGTCATCGGTGCGAGGCTGCTAGCGAGCTATATCCACCCTGAAGGTTAATCTTGGACAATATCTGATGATCGACTCTTTTAAATGAAACCAGAGAGCGTTGACAGAGAGGAGAAGGTAGAAATGACTCAGCCTGGAACTGAAAATATGGATGGAGGACAACAGAGCTGCTTCATGGAAGAAGAACCTCAGCTTAGCTTGTTAGCCTTTGTGTTAGCGCTGACGCTATATTGCCTTACATGTATTAGCTCGGCACTAGAGCAACAAACAAGCTAAACTGAGGTCCTCCATCCATATTTTCAGTTCCAGGCTGAGTCATTTCTACCTTCTCCTCTCTGTCAACGCTCTCTGGTTTCATTTAAAAGAGTCGATCATCAGATATTGTCCAAGATTAACCTTCAGGGTGGATATAGCTCGCTAGCAGCCTTGCACCGAGGACCTACCCACGTCATCATTTACCCAGAATGCGTTGCATGTAAATAAAATGGCCCCATCCGTGTAATATATTTTTAAACTTTTAGTTTAAAAATGATCAAAACTAAACATCCTACAGCATTTTTACAGTATTTATTTTACAGTTAAAATATATGTTTATTAAATAAAGTCTAATGTTACAACTAGGGTTGGGCATAATCGTATCGTGTGCAATCAATCGTCAGAAAAACAATCGATCAAATATGATGAACATTAAAAAAATTCTGTAATTTATTTATCTTTCAACACAAATTAAAATTTGATGTATAGCCTGAAGTCTTTCAGAACAGATTTTTACAAAGAGCAAATCTTTCCCACTAAATCGGTCATGTGACTAGGACATGAGGATGTCCAGGGACTCCAGGGGATTAATCGTCAAATTAATCGTTATAGATTAAATACCAAAATTAATCGRGATTAATTTTTTTGCCAATATTGCCCAACCCTAGTAAAAACAATCGGGGATCCCTTTAAAGGAGTTAAAAGGTCACAAAGATTTTAGCGCGTTCACTGGCATTTGCAAAAATACAAGTCCATTACCTTAAAAAAAGTTGGGTTGTCATATTAAATGGGAATCAAAAACACAAATGCAACAAACTTTATTAGGAGGCAAAGAACTTATATGAAGACATGAAAACTCTACTTAAACCCTGTATTTTTTTTGTTCAGATTATTACAGGAATATAATCAATGTCCCTGTTGCGTCGAGGCAGGAATGATTGAAACAAATGTCTTAAAGAGAAACTGTTCTCATGCTGCTTCGGCTGTATTCATCACAGCCACACAAATAATTACACAATGTCGTGCACAACTCTCTGTCTTGAATTCCGAGCAGTAAAATGTCATGTTTGGTGAGTAATGTGTTGTTGTGCCAGGCTTTTTCACATGCACAGCTTGACTCACAGTCAYTAGAGTATTTCAATGTCATCCGTGCACTGCAGTGGCTCAGTATGAAAAAAGGTGCGTGAAGGTCAGACAGGCCACCTCGGTACTTTGACCTTCCATGCTTTTGCTAACACCTTTATCTCAACCTAAACACTTTATTCCACTTCAGCCTTCGCCAATATTAAAAGAAAAACACCCACGGAACATATCAAAGGATGGAATCTGACCGTAAAAGTAAGAGAAGATGGAATGTTTGAAATTGTTTGGCAATGAAATGATAACAGACGTTGAAAAGAGATTTTGAAAAGTGAAAAAAACTATGAAAAATGGGAGATGGAATCTTTTTACTGATGTGCCCCAGCTGTACTTTTATGACCAGGGAACCAACCTTGGACAGACTTTTCAATCAACTCTGCTTTATTAGCGCTGAATGTGATCACAGGGAAAGGATATCAAAAGAAAATCTTTTTCTGATTGTTACATTGCCTAACCTAATTTCTGTGCCAGGATATAGTTTTTTTTTCTTTGACTAGTACCGTCTATAGAARAAAGAGAAGTTGAAGGTTTCAACCACTCATTAGGTAATTGTTCAACGAAATTGCACAGTCTCACAGAATGTTCTTCACACCTAAACTCTGCCTTACCAACAACAGAAACACACCCAACGTCACAGTTAAAGTAGCATGCCTTTCACCCCATACAAGCCAATAAAAAACACATTAGACCACTTCATGAAAACCTCTTTCCTGCCAATTAAGAGTTCAGGCTGATCTTAAGCCTCCATCTCTTCCTGTCTGACTATACTGCCCAGCCCTTTCACAACAATGGGCCACTTTCCAATTAATGGGTCGATAACAGGCTGCTCTGTGCCGAGCCGGTCAGAGCCCACAATAAATACAGGATAATTTGAGGGAGGGCGATAAACTGTAACCCTACAGTGCATAAATTCATTTAGAATCCTAAGTAAAGTCCGTGTTGAAAAACTGGAACCATTTGAAGTCAACTGAACAAACTTGACCTAAATCAAAATGATTAAAACGGCTTAGAAATCTCCCCAGTTTGTTGACTGAAAATATAAAACCTCTAATCTCGAAACCCTGTCAGTTTGCTTTGTGTAGGTATCAGTAAACACTACTTTGTTTGGAGTGTGGATACGTCTTCCAAAAGCGTGCTGCTGAAGTGCAGCAACTGATGTGTTGTATCTACTTCATAAGGCAAGGCCACAGAGGTCACAGAGGCACTGAATACAGCAAGGCTGAGTAAGTGTAAAAAGCTGCACTCTATTCTGTATTCCCATTGAGGCCCTAAGACTGACCGCTCAGACAGCAGGCCGATTGAGACAAATGGGACGGGAATATTGGTGCGCTATTCTACACTCAGGGCATGTTGGTGGATTCTGGGGCACTGTTCCTTGCTATGTGCCTATATTTGTGAATCACTTTCTTTGTCTCTGTTTTACGTAGCAAAGGTAAACAAGGACAAATTGCAGCTTCTGCTTTTACACATCATTGAATTGCTCTCCTTTATTCAAACGAACACAAGAACTCCACCTCCCACAACCTATTCTGATAAATATGATGCTTTTCTCTTTTACTGGCTTCCAGAAAACTCACTTAATTCTGTTTGCATGGCTATGAGTGCATGCATTTCCTGAAATCGGTTTGTGTGAGCATTTCCTTATAGACGCTAGACAACCTAAGGAGATATAGACTATAGTATTAAGTT